GCTTCCTAGCGGACAGCTCCCTACCTGCCGCAAGTAGATTTTGATTACTACTGATTGGTCAACAATCTATAGCATAATTGAATCTGTATCTTAATGAATACCATTATGTAACGAATTGCAGCCATCAAATGACAGAATTATTCAAAGGAAATAGAAAAAGACATAAATCGTACAGTTCACTTCAAAATTCTTACTTGAAAAATTTTCTTAATATTTTATATTACTTCGAATATATTAGTCTATCTCCATTTATTTTATTCCATTGGTTGTTTAATATTGAAGCGCTAAACCATTAGTTATATGATCCACTTTTCTCAATAGAAAAGAGCTAAACTGTCGATTTTAGTTGCATAGTTTTAGTAGCATTTCACAACGGAGGTTGAACCACCGCCGTTTACTTTGTACAGGTGTCTCCTTCCACGTAACCACAGGCTTGCGGCAGTGAAGAAGGTTTATAGAAGATGCTTGGAGCCATCCCATTGCTACTCATGAATAAGACTAGCTAAAATTTAAAACTTCCCAAATTTGGAAAACAAATTTAAATCGATCAAAAATGTAGATTCTCAAGTGAAAATATCTGATGTTAATGGGTTAAAGTCCCAATACAATTACCGTTGTATCTACAGTTACTGACCGAGAGGTCCTTGGGTTCAAGTCCCGAGGGAAATGAATTTTCGGCACTAAGTTGATAACCAAGTGAAATTCAGCTTCCCAGGAGGAAAATTGTAGCGGCCGGTTACTCTGGTCGGTAGTTTTCCATAGTTCTTCCGTTACATATTACGCGAATGCCGGGGCAGTACCCTACAAGCTACGAACTCCGTGAAATCTTTTCTTATCAGTCTTATCATATCCATTGCCTTTACACACACACTTACATGGATTGCAGTATTACATATGTCGGAGTTCGGTCGGAAGTTTGAGGTTTTCCCGGATAAAACGTTCACTAATGGCCATGGCAGTTGGCAGGTCAGGGAACAACATTCAAACAATCAATCAAGGAGCTGCAATATCAGCCGAATCGATTGAGGAATATTAATTCTGGAAAAAATCGGCTAAACAAATTAGCCGTTAGCGTTGTTCACAATCGGACATACGTTTTGCCGTCAATCGATTTTTCAGTATCAAGTACCCACAAAACATGGATTCTGTTTATTTTTTCTACATTTAGCAATTGGACTTAACCGCTTTTTCCTTGCCAGGGCCCCGTAATATGAATTTTTCTGCCGAAAAATTTCATTTTATTCGCGCAGAAATTACATCTCTTCTCCGTAGCGAGGAAATACAAATAGTTGCCATCACATCTGCTCCCACCTTCGTAAAAAAAAAAATAAAAAAATTGAAGAGGGCTGTTGAAGTAAGCCATTCTTTTCACGGGGGGGGGGGGCAATAAAAAAAAGTATTTGGGAACCCCTGGAAGCTTACTGCAGACACCGCAGTGTGAGCTGACTTACTGACCTTGTCGAGATTTCCGTCAAAAGACGAATCGCCTTCCGCACATCTGCGAAGTGTATTATTTCTTCTCTGACTTCGAGTGCTCTGGTGAAAGTTCCAAAGTGAACTTGCGCGATGTGGTTGAAAATCTGCAGCACAATCTCTTCAGTCACCTGTTCAGAATCAAACAGAACATGATTATTGTAGGAATGCTGATGTGGTGGTGTTGAATGTTTTCATGAATGAAATAATATAAATCATATTTATCAACTTAAACTAAAACATTGTTTTGTACTCTTTGCACAAATGATGACCGCAAAGAAATTAAAATTCGGCTATCACATAATTCAAGTTGACAAAGATGACTGCTAATTTTTTTCATCCGGAAGATAGTAAGTTAGAAATTGTTGCATTTAATGCCAACGAAACAGTTTTGATTTTCTCACGCGAACAGTAAATGGAAACCTTTTTGAGCAATGATATGGAGTTGCGTAATAGTGACAATAGCATGCCTGGAACCACATTGGCATGCCACGAGGTTAACAGGACAAGTGACATGAAAGGGAACTACCAGTTGTATACGCGTGCTTAGCTTTCGTTGAGTGATGGTTATGTCGGATCTTCCACAGTACTATTTACCAAAGGAAATGAAATACAGTAGACTGGTATTTATCCGATTTTCGAGGGACACCGAGGGAGCCAGTTAACTGAGGCTGTGCTCAGTAAGAAATATGGATCGAATAAATGAATAACTTGGTTGCTGGAGTATTAGCAACAAGGCACATGCACTGTACCTCACCAATTCCAAAAAATATTCATTTATTAATCTATACATTTGTTTAATTGATCAATTCCTCAAACGTTTATACGTCCAATTGTTCAGTCATCAAATAGATCAATTGTTCAGTCATCAGATAGATCAATTTTTCAGTCGTTCAATAGATCAAATGTTCAATCGTCCAATTGTTCAATCGTCCAGTTGTTCTATTGTTCAATCACCTTTCCAATGTCCAGTTGTTCATTTATTCATTTATTCAATTCGTCAATCATTAATTAGAATTGTACAATCTAATAATTGCTTAATTGTTCATTTGTTCAATTGTTCAAATATTCAGGCGTTCATTTCTTCAATCGTTCATGTTTTCAGCTGAGCATGTATTCAGCTTGTTCACTAGCTATCAGTTGTTCACTAGTTATCAATTGTTCACTAGTTATCAATTGTTCACTAGTTATCAATTGTGTCACTAGTTATCAATTGTTCACTAGTTTCAATTGTTCACTCACTCGTTATCAATTGTTCACATATATCAATTGTCACTAACTAGTTCAATAGTAACAATAAGTCACTAGCTATCAATTTGTTCACTAGCTATCAATTGTTCACTAGCTATCAATGTTCACTTAGCTATCAATTGTTCACATAGCTATCAATTGTTCACATAGCTATCAATTGTTCACTAGCTACCATTATCAATTGTTCACTAGTCTATCAATTGTTCACCTAGCTATCAATTGTTCACTAGCTATCAATTGTTCACTAGCTATCAATGTTCACTAGCTATCAATTTGTCCTATATCATTCCCTAGCTATCATTGTTCACTAGCTATCAATTGTTCACTAGCTATCAATTTTTTTCACTAGCAATCAACTGTTCGTTAATTCAATCGTCCACGCATACAATTGCTCGTGAACTGGCGTTACCGGCGCGGCGAAGGCGTGCGGCGAGCGCAGCAGGTCGCGCGCGGCGGCGCAGGCCTCCATGGCGACGCGGCGACGCTGGCTGCGCAGGAGGTGCGCGGTGCGAGACAGCGCGGCCGCCCACAGCGGGCCCTCCGCCCCCGCCGCCCCCGCCGCCAGCGCGCGCACCGCCCGCACGCACGTCTCCCTGCGCGCACCCAGACGCCATTTCCTTTTCTTTTCTTTCTTTCTCTTTTCTTCTTTTTAATTCGTTACATTGTTCTATAACCTTTTATAAGCATCGAACGTGGAGTATACGTTGATGACAAAAAAGTAAATCAAGAGACTGAAAACGTGCTGCGCGTACCAAGCCGCCATTTTCTTTTTCTTTTTTTTTAAATTCGTAACATCGTTCTATAACCTTTTATAAGCATCGAACGTAGAGTTCATGATGCTTACAAAAAAGTAAATCAAGAGTTGAAAACGTGCGGCGCGCAACAAGCCGCCATTTTCTTTTCTTTTGTGAATTCGTAACAACGTTCTATAATCTCTTATAAGCATCGAACGTGGAGTATTCGTTGATGACAAGAAAGTAAATCAAAAAACTAAAAACATGTTGCGCGCAACAAGCCGCATTTTTTTTGTTTTTAATTCGTAACAACGTTCTATAACCTTTTATAAGCATCGAACGTGGACTACACGTTGATGACAAAAAAGTAAATCAAGAGATGAAAACGTGCGGCGCGCAACAAGCCGCCATTTTCTTTTCTTTTGTAAATTCGTAACAACGTTCTATAATCTCTTATAAGCATCGAACGTGCGTATACGTTGATGACAAGAAAGTAAATCAAGAGACTGAAAACGTGCTGCGCGCACCAATCCGCCATTTTCTTTTCTTTTTAATTCGTAACAACGTTCTATAATCTCTTATAAGCATCGAACGTGGAGTATACGTTGATGACAAGAAAGTAAATCAAGAGACTGAAAATGTGCTGCGCGCACCAAGCCGCCAATATTTTTTTTAAAAAAATCGTAACAACGTTCTATACTCTTTTATAAGCATCGAACGTGGAGTACACGCTGATGACAAAAAAGTAAATCAAGAGACTGAAAAGTGCTGCGCGCAACAAGCCGACATTTTCTTTTCTTTTTAATTCGTAACAACGTTCCATAACCTTTTATAAGCATCGAACGTGTAGTACACGTTGATGACAAGAAAGTAAATCAAGAGACTGAAAACGTGCTGCGCGCACCAAGCCGACATTTTCTTTTCTTTTTAATTCGTAACAACGTTCTATAATATCTTATAAGCATCGCACGTGGAGTATACGTTGATGACAAACAAGTAAATCAGGAGTCTGAAAACGTGCTCGAAGTGTTCTTTTTTATTTTAAAGAAACACTCGAAGATTGTGGACCTAAAATGTTCGCTCAAAAATAAAAAAATAAAAAAAGATCATGGCATTTTCTTGCGAAATATCTACTAAGATCTAATACAACAACGGAAAATTTCGTTCTGGAACCAGTTAGCAACTTCAGTTACTTTGGCAGTGATATGTTATTTAATAATCATGCCGAAGAAGATTAGGAGTAAAATTCCGCATTGTCGCGATGAAAGAGAAAGCCATTGACTCATTTCTCTGATCGATTTTGTCACGTGTTTCAAATTTTCGTGCTTTTTTTTTAGCTCGAAGGAGTCTCGATCGTTGCTCGTTTACAACAAACTCATCTCCGCTTTTAAATCGCTCATACCACTTGCAAACAGTCTTCAAAATTACCACAGTGCCATACACTGATATACATTTCATAAGCCTCTTTGGCACTTTTTTGTAACTTGAAAAACAAACAGCAACTTATTGATGTTGGGTGGTGTTTATTGGTCGAAATCCATGATGCGCCACAGACACGGTAAACACGATCTTACTCTTGCGGCTGTGAAAGCTGACTGGCAAGTCGAAACGAATTCAAATTTGACTCTGCGTGTGTTAACGGATCAGGCTATTGGATATGTTTGCGGTTTTGGTGGTATAACTGTTATCGTATCGGATGGTTAAATTCTAGTTTTCGGGTTCAAACCCGATCGAAACCTTGGGTTTTTAAGGGTGAAAAAAGCCTTAGTACATCTTCGGAAGGGAAGTAAATTCGGCTATCCCGTGATGTAGATTAATGCTTGTAAAATATCGTCTAGTCTAAATGAAGCCTGTAAGCTAAATTCAAACCTCCCGATGATGACATGCACCGCGCTTACGGGACCTTACCTTAGCCGTTGACACGCTCGGAATCAATCGCTAATCAAACAATAAATCAACACAATTTGTAGCCTCTAATTGCTGCTAGCTGACAAGTAGATTATTCGGACCATTGTTCGGTAATCGATCAATCATCACAACTTGAAGTCTGGTTGTGTAATGGGACCCCCCCGCCCCTCTCAGCCGCTAACGAGTACATTATTCGGGTTTTAATTTCTTGACGTGCGAGGCCTTGTCTTCACGATTGAATGTCTGACGGTATTTAGCGTCTTTCTAGGTCGTGCCGCTAGATGTCGAATGATCGCCAGCCCTCCTCAATACGGTCGCGATCATGCGACATCTAGCGGCACGGCCAAGAAAGTCTCTAAATGCCGTGAGATATTCCAAGGTGAAGACTGACACTCACGTGCCAAGAAATTAAAACCCAAATATATTGATATTTATTTAATTAAAGAGTCATTAAGCTAAATCGTCAGTAATTGTCATCTCTTGAGGAACAAAAACATACACTACACTTACGGGACTAATGACCTTAGCAGTTGACGCACTTGGTATCGGTAACCAGTATATCATCACAACGTGATGCCTCTGATTGTACAACGGCACCCCTCTCTCCGCTAGCTGTCAAGACATTTTTCGCACTATACTTGGGTTAATTTCTTGGCGCGAGAGGCCTCGTCTTCACGATTAAATGGCTGATGGTATTTCGCGTCCTTCTAGGTCGTGCCGCTAGATGTCGAATGATCGCCAGCCCTCCTCAATACAGTCGCGATCATGCGACATCTAGCGGCATGGCCGAAAAAGTCTCTAAATGCTGTAAGATCGTGAAGTAGGACCCTCACGCGCCAAGAAATAAAACCCCAAGTATAATGATTATTTAAACAATTATTAAGCTAAGTCGTGAGTGATTTTTATCTCCTGAGGAACAAAAACATAAACTACACCTACGGAAGTAATGACCTTAGCTCCCGGAATCTGTAACCAATGAATCATCACAACTTGAAGTCTCAGATTGTATAATGGTACCCCCCTATCTCCCCTAGGTGTCAAGTAGGCAGAAACATTATTCCCCCTGCTCACCAGTGGGTGGAACGCAGCCCCTGTGCGCAGGCGCGGCGCCTGACCTCCGCCCTGCGCATGCGCGGGGAGAGCGTGGGTCGCCGGCCCCAGTGCGCAGGCGCGGATCGCGGCGCGGGCGTCGGCGCCGTCGGGCACACCACGGCCACGGGGAGGGACGCTCCAGTCCTATGCGAGAATCGATTCCGGAATCGAAAAGGCGAAATCACGGAGTAAGAGATGGTTGCGTAGGCTTTCGCGGCCGGCGTTTGTGTTGTCTAGGTTACCCGGGACGATTTGCGTCACTGAAATGGTGGCAAACGTTTCGGCCAGCGTATTGTGGCCTTCTTCAGGGCGTAGTGAGTCACTGACATGGTGGCTAACGTTTCGGCCAGCGTATTGTGGCCTTCTTCAGGGCGCACTGCATTACGCTCTGAAGAAGGCCACAATACGCTGGCCGAAACGGTAGCCACTTTGTCATTTACGCGGGTCGTCTCGGATAGCCTAGACAACACGGAGTAAGAGAATTTATGAATTTTGTGGAGATGTTAGCAAGATGTTCCAGTCGTTGCTAAAGGATGAAATAATTGACGACGACTTTGTCAACTCAGATAGCAAGCTTCTCATGGCTCTGCTGTCATCGTCGATCTAAAAGTAATAAAAATACAAAATAATTACAAAATATTACAATAATATGAACGTGAAGATAATTCAAATTCACTTGTGATATTAGAGATAATACAAATTAAATTTAGTCACCCGAACCCTAGAGTGTCGAAGCGGAAGAACTAAGTTGCAACAGCGAGTCAGTATAAATTTTGACGAATTTTTTTCGTACATTTCAGTCATAAACGGACATAGTGCACTTGAAGGGAACAAATATTATTTTCCGGAACCAGAGATTTTCCAGCTGTATTTCCGTCACCATTTTAAAATCGCTCTTATTTTGAAAGCAATTTTATTACTTGTGCAAACGGAGTAATATACGTAGTATAGAGGACGTTATTTGTTTCTCTAGCGTATTCGTGAATGCAACCATTAACAACAAATATGATACATTAGCGTACATTGTAGGCGGGTTGGGTTTAACCAGAGGTTAACCTTGGGTTTAACCAGAGGTTAACCTTGGGTTTAACCAGAGGTTAACCTTGGGTTTAACCAAGGGTTAACCTTGGGTTTAACCAAGGGTAAACCTTGGGTTTAACCAAGGGTTAACCTTGGGTTTAACCAAGGGTTAACCTTGGTTTAACCTTGGGTTTTCCAAGCTCCTTCTCGAGACCAGTGGGGTATGGCTTCGCCACGCCTGCTGATGTAAGCGACACCATGATGTTTTTTTCTAAGTAAGGAGAGAGATGTGGCTTCTTCAGGCGCTACTGCATTAGCCTCTGAAAGAAGGCACAATACGCTGGCGAAACGGTACCACTTTGGTCATTTACGGGTTGTTCAGTCTCGGATAGCCTAGAAACACGGAGTAAGAGAAATTTATGAATTTTGTGGAGTGTTAGCAAGATGTTCAGTGTTGCTAAGATGAAATAACTTGAGACGATTGGTCCAACTCAGATAGAAGCTTCTCATGGTTGCTGTCATCGTCGATTAAAAAGTAATAAAAATACAAAATATACAAAATATTACATAATATGAAGTGAAGATAATTCAAAAATTCACTTGTTTGATATTGAGATAATACAAATTAATTTAGCTCACTCAACTAGAGTGTGAAGGGAAGAACTAAGTTGCAACAGCGAGTAGTATAAATTTTGACGAATTTTTTGTACAGTTTCAGTCATAAACGGACATAGTGCACTTGAAGGGACACAATATTATTTTCCGGACAGAAGTTTTCCAGTGTATTTCGTCATCCATTTATTAAATCGCTCTTATTTTTGAAAGCAATTTTTATTACTTGTGCAACGGAGTAATTAGTAACGTGTAATAGAGGACGTTATTTTGTTTCTCTAGGTATTCGGTGAATGCAACCATTAACAAAAATATGATACATTAGCGTACATTGTAGCGGGTTGGGTTTAAACCAGAGGTTAACCTTGGGTTTAACCAGAGGTTAATTGGGTTTACCAGAGGTTAACGCCTTGGGTTTAACCAACGGGTAACTTGTGTTTAACAAGGGTAACTTTGGGTTTAACCAAGGGTAAACCTTGGCGTTTAACAAGGGTAAACCTTGGGTTCTAACAGGGTCAACTTGGGTTTAAACAAGGGTAAACTTGGGTTTAACCAAGGGTAAACTTGGGTTTAACCAAGGGGTAAACTGGTTTAACAAGGGTTTAAAATTGGTTTACCAAGGGTAAACCTTGGGTTTAACGCAGGTAAACTTCGGGTTTAAGGCAAGGGTAAACCTTGGGGTTTAACACGGGTTTAACTTGGGTTAACCAGGGTTAACTTGGGTTTAACCAAGGGTTAACATTGGGTTTAACCAAGGGTTAACTTGGGTTTAACCTGGGTTTTAACCTTGGGTTTAAAATAACCTGTTAAAAGGTTAACCTTGGGTTTTAACCTAGGGTTTAACTTGGTTTAACCTTGGAATTTTCCAAAGTCCTTCTGAGACCAGTGGAAGTATGGCTTCGCCACGCCTGCTGCTGAATGTAGCGACACCATGAGTTTTTTTCTAAGTGGTCAGAGCAAGGGTTGGGAAGTCGGTCTTACTTATCGTCCTTGGCTCTCTAGAAGATGGCAGCTCCTTGGTCGGGGCGCGGGCGCGCGGGGGGCGGGCGTGGGCGCGGAGGCGGGCCGAGGCGGCGGGGCGGGCGATGGCGCGGCGGTTTGTCTCGAGGGCGGCGGCGGCGGATGGGGCGGGGGCGGGTTGGCTTCCGAGGGTGGCTTTGACACCACCACTCTAACGCGCAAAGTTCCACGGAAACGCCCTCACACGT